GACTGAGAACTGTTATCTTATATTGCTATTATATGTAGATGACATGTTGATTGCAGGAGCTAGTTCAAAGGAGATTGAGAAGCTAAAGAAACAGTTGCCAAAACATTTTTTCAAAGCAGATTTTGGGCATGCGAATCGAGAGGGATGAGGCAGCGGGCAGATTGTTTCTTTCACAGGCAGAATACATTCAGAAGGTCTTGGAAAGATTCAAAATGCAAGATGCTAAGGCTGCAAGTGTTCCATTCGGTAGTCAATTCAAACTTAGCAAGGAAGATTCTCCAAAGAACAAGGAGGACCGTGCTCAAATGCAGAAGATTCCATACGCATCGGCAATTGGCAGCATCATGTACGTTATGGTTTGCATGAGGCCAGACATTGCACATGCGGTGGGAGTAGTGCGCAGATACATGGGAGACCTCGGGAAAGAACACAGGGAAGCTGTGAAATGGATCATGAGGTATTTGAAAGGTACTGCTTCTAATGCTTTGTGTTTTGATGGGAAGAATGTAGAGCTGTTGGGACATGTTGATGCAGAAGACCTGACATCGAATGACTCGGATGGATCAAGGAGCACCACGGGGTATGTTTTTACATTTGGTGGAACGAAAGTTTCATGGCTTTCGCAGCTGCAGAAGATTGTTGCATTATCTACCACTGAAGCTGAATATGTAGCCATTACGGAGGCAAGTAAGGAGATGGTGTGGCTTCAGAATCTACTTGGGGAACTTGGGAAAGAGTACAAGAATAGCATTCTTTACAGTGATAGTCAAAGTGCTATCTTCTTGGCAAACAACACAGCTTTTCACAATAGAACCAAACACATTCGGTTGAAGTATCACTACATCCGTCTTCTGGAGATAGAGGCATTGCAGTTTGTGAAGATCCGTGGGAGTGAGAATCCAGCAGACATGTTTACTAAGGTGGTAACCTTGGAAAAGTTGAAGCTTTGCTTAGCTTCAATTGGCCTTGGTACTTAAAGTTGAAGGCCGGCGCTACCATGCTAACAAGGGAGGATTTGAAGAAGACAGTCTCAAGGTGGGAGATTGTAAGGTGTTAGAGACAGTTTCTTAATTTATTCTTGGAAACACGTTTCTTAATTTATATTTGGAAACACATCCTAATTTAATTAGGAGTTATGTTGCTTTGGGAACAAGACACTGCATCTCTATAAATACCACTCTCCTCTCTTGTAATTTGCATCCAGAAAATATTAATAACATTCTTGGCTTGGTAGCCCCCAAACGTAGTCCTCTGTGGCAAACTGAGTTATCAAATTTCGTGTGTTCTTTAATTGTTCTTCGTGTTTGTGATTAAATTCCTAACAAATAGCGCTTCAATGGTTGGATTGCCCAACCATGTCCTTCATTTGAAAATCGGAGCCCCGATAATGTTATTGGGGAATATTAATCATGCATAAATTTTATTCAAATAGAATATAATTGGTCATAACCAATGAAAAAACAAGTATGACAAGTCATAATTTGAAAAGTTATGAAAGATAAAGTTTATTTATTAAAAATCTCATTGTCACCATATGACAACTTTATTCAATTTTGAATAAAACAATTTGTTATGATGATAAGCTTTGCAATGATGATCAATAAAAGTCAAGACTAAATTTTGCCAAAAAAAGGTCTCACATAAAATATGATTGATATCTTGAAAGAGAAGTTTCATTAACGATCAATTGTACATTGCAATATCAAGAGTAATGCGTAAAGATATCTTAACATATTCATATGTCCAAAAGAAACAAATTTTGCCAAAAAAAGGTCTGACATAAAATATGATTTATACTTTGAAAGAGAAGTTTCATTAATGATCAATTGTACATTGCAATATTAAGAGTAATGCGTAATCTTAAGATATTCGTATGTAGGTTGAAAAGAAACAAATTTCTTCACCAAGACGATAAATGTCATTTATAAAGAGGTTTCCCAATTTAAATCTAACTGATGTTTGGTTACAATGTAATGTGCGGTGTTACATTACAATGTCACTTTTTAATATGTTTTGTTTAGTTAAATTACTATTCACAATCAACAAATATTTATTTGAAGTAAAACGATTACTTACTTTTATATTCTACAAAATATATATTTTATGAAGTATTCAAACATTCTTGCCCCGGTAAAACACTAGTTTTGTTAGTATTTGTAAGGGAAAGTATTCAAAAGGTTTGTTAATTCCAAAAATGGGACTCACATGTTTTTATTCCCAAAATAGGACCAATTACTGTCATTTTTTGGCAGTACCAGACTTCAAACATGACAGTATTTTCCAAACTTGACAGTAATTACTCCTATTTTGGAAAAAAAAAAACATGACAGTCCTATTTTGGAATTTCATTTTCCTATTGCGTGTAATATCTCTATTTGTAAACAAAAACATGCAAATCAACACATGTTTACCTCCGTAAAAGGAAAAATTCACAAGAATAATCTCACCTTTCACCGGTCTTCTCATAATAATCCCACCTTTAAATAATCCCAAAATAATCCCACCTTTGCACCTCATCTTCTTTCATTGGACCCTGACCATGTTTTTTACTCTTTTTTTGAAAATCATATAAATGATCTCACCTTTCACTTTTTTATTATATCTTTATAAATGTAAGATTATTTATATAAGATTCTCAAAAAAGGTAAAAAAAACTTGGTTAGGGTCCAATGGAAGAAGATGAAGTGCAAATGTGGGATTATTTTGGGATTATTTAAAGGTGTGATTATTATGAGAAGACCGGCGAAAGGTGGGATTATTCTTGTGAATTTTTCCTCCGTAAAAAAGCACATGTTTCCAAACGATGTTTGGAAACATCGAGTATTTCTCCGCGTACGTATTTCTCCGTATATACACACGATGACTATTTATACGAGTATCTCAATAAAATCTGACACATTTATTTATTTAAATATGATGACCGTTTGAGGTAGAAGCAAAACAAGAAAAGAATGCGTTTGCCGGGAGTCGAACCCGGGTCTATTGCTTGGAAGGCAATTATCCTAACCGTTGGACTACAAACGCGGTTGCTAAGTATTCCCTTAATTTTGATTCATAATTACGGTACACTTTTGGTAATTGCTAATCAGCCAAAACTTAACTTCTTTGACCATTTAAACTTCTGAAACGTAATATTACCAAAATGGAATGATATACTTTATTGATAGCTTTATATCCATGTTTCTGGTTTAGGTTAATGACACAAAACGGTAAAATATTTGAACTAATTTTATAAAATAAATACTCTGTAATTATTTACTTTTTCTTTGTCATGCATACCGTCCACATGCATATCAATGCTACAATTTTATCATGAAAAACCACCATATTTGTGTAACATTCAAGACCATTGTGTATTTTAATTAGTAATCATAACTCTAACAATGTAGGACAAGACAAATTAAATTGAACAAAACTGTGCAAACCAAAATATCTTATATCTCTAACTTCTTCATGACGAGATTACAAAATATGCCAAAGTATAATGGAAGCTTAATTTCCAAATGAACATGAAATCAAGCGTACATAGTTTTATTCCATGCTTTTACATTGAACTGCTATATTGTCATTAACTTAATACTATTATTATGAACATGATTGATTTCCTAAAATTTTATACAGGGAAACCAGTCAAATAGGTCCTCGAACTTTCATAGAAAAGTCAATTAAGTCCTTCTATAGGAGACTTTGTTCAGTCGTCGCGATTTGGGGCGGTTCCCGGTGGAATTTTTTGATGTAATTTTTTGAGCATCTTATTCATCAAGTCTAGTTTATTCATACCAAATTTCAGCTAAAAATTCAATCGGGAGTGCATTCAAATTAATTCGAGAACGCAAAAATGCGCAGTTATCTTCAAGAATTAATTTAAATGTGTTCCCGATTGAATTTTTAGCTGAAATTTGGTATGAGTAAACTAGACTTGGTGAATAAGATGCTCAAAAAATTTCATCAAAAAATTCCACCGGGAACTGCCCCAAATCGCGATGGCCGGACAGACCTCCTATAGAAGGACTTAATTGACCCTTTTATAAAAGTTCAAGGACCTATTTGACATTTTTCCCTTTTATACATGTATGCCTTCAAACTGATGAGTCGTGAAATGAGCTGCTAGCTTTAACATGGCTCAACTTGAGAGTCATAGTTTGACGTTAATGGTATAATATAAAACCATTTATGTAGGATTCATAATTTTGTTCTTAAATTTCTACGTCTACCTGCTATACTACTTATAGAGTTATAGAATGTCTTATTTGATTTAACACGAAAAGTTGAAGTTCAGTTAAAAGGCATGATAGGTATAAATCATGGAATTTGAGAAAGTTATAAATCATGGTATGTAGATCTTGGTATGATAGGTATCAGGTATGTAAGAAATTTAGAGCCTGTTTGGTAGCACACAAAAAGGCTGATTTTGATGAAATTTCTGAAGTTCTGGCTAAAGTGACTGCATTGGCTGATTCTGCTGGTTTAAGAAAAAAATATTTTTAAAAATATATTTTATTTATAAAATCAAGAAAAAATTTTATACAAAAATAGTTAAAATGATCATCTACAGTAACTTCAGTCAATACAGTTAAGTTGCGTTTCATAAATCATGGTATAATAGACATAGACCGATAGTTATGTAAGATCTCTTCAACTATATGTCTATATTATGTGAAAGTGTTAATATACTACAGCCCATGTGTAATTTGTATCATATACTACGTATAAACTATGGAATTTCAATCGATGAGTTTTCTTAAATCTAGCCGTTTAAATTACCTTGGTTCGTACCCGCTCATGTTTAAAAAAATGGAAAATAGAAAGGCATTTTCAGTATGATAGAGAGAGTTTCCCATTATATGTTTAAATTACCTTGGTTGCTATACTGTTACCAAAAAATGGAAAAACTGAACAGATAAAAAAAAGTATAGAAATGCGTCTGCCGGGATTCGAACCCGGATCTATTGCTTGGAAGGCAATTATCCTTTAGCCATTGGACTACAGACGCAGTTGTCGGAAAAGATGGTCGCGCCTAAATATGAGCACACAAAAAAGAGAAGGTTGTTCTTTATGAAGAAACGGATCCTTCATAGCCTGACTTCAAGCACCACATGAGGGAAGCATTATCGATACTAAGAAACTTTCTGATCCAGTTCACGTAGATTACAGACTGTTATCTCATCTATGATAATTTACACGTAGTAGTAGTTTACCTTTCTGTAAACCCCCGGTGTGGGATAATTTGTAGAGCCCAGACTCCAGAGGAGAATCGATAGGTCTCAAAATTCCTAAATGGCTAAACCGTTAGGGCCTTAATTATAGGGAGTATTAATTAATATTGCCAATCAAACCCCACAAGTTTCTCAAAATCCCTCCCGTTTTTTAGCTTAGATTGGTATTAGTCCAAGCAGAACGGCAGAAGATCTATGGGAGGGAGGTGCCGTTTCTTGCTTCTTCGACCAGGTACCTTGTTTCTGTTTATTGGTATAGCAGGACTCTGCTTTTTAAGAATAGAATCTGAAAACACTGTTGATTGCTGCACTTTTTTTTTTTTTTTGCTTTCTTAGAAAACTTTAGGCTTTTTATCTTATGGAGTAATCTGCCATCATTACTATTGTTGATTTGTTGTGTTTCTGTTGCAGCAATGGCTTTGTCGTTACAACGTTACACAAGGGCAAACAGGACAGCCGTTTTACTCAACTGTTTGAAAGAAAGGTGAGTTCTTTGTATCACTTGTTGTGGGATACCTTGCATTTATATTTGCTTTCCATTCTTCATGTTTTTTTAGAGATAAGTTTTTTTTTCCTTTTTCCTCGGAAGTAGAGAACACAGAGTGAGAGGTCGAGGTCAATGACAGTCACAACAGAGAAGGTAGATCATTTGCATGAAAGCGGGATCAGGGTTTTAAATAGTGGCCCGCTACCGCTATAGCGGCCGCTATATAGCGGTCGCGGTAGGGGTCGCTACCGCTACGGCCCGCTATTCCGCTGTGAATTTCAAATCACGAGAAAAATCTGTTACGCCGCCCGCTACAGCCCGCTATTGGCATTTTCGATAGTACGTCACGAACATATTGATGTGTAAATGTGTCTATGTTGTGTGAATGATGTGAAAAAATACATTGATGGTGATGTGTGGAGTGAAACTCCAAATGAAATGTACATTTATCCACATTATGGTAGCAAATATTAATAAACATGTAAATTATAATTATTAAAGCCAAATTAATTATTAATAAAGATGATATAACTTTAATATCGATTGAAAATATTTTACGCTGCTGCAATCGCTACAGTCGGCTACAGACCGCTACAGGCCGCTACCACGATGACCGCTACCGCTGCCGCTACGGCTATTTAAAACCTTGAGCGTGATCATAGAGGTTCTCTCGTGGCTGCCAGCAAAAGAACTGCTACAAGAGTGTGAGCAAAACATGGCATGCTATAATATCAAGTCCTCAATTCATATCGAAACATATGAAAAACTACTATCATAGATTAACAATTATTGTTGATATAGTTCGATTCCTTTTAGAGGGTGGATTGGCTTTTCGAGGTCACGATGAATCAGATACTTCAGTGCATTCAGGTAAATATTTATTATATTATTTACATCATTTTTAACTTATTAATAACATTATTAATTTATAATGCTTATTGTTACATTTGTATAAATGTATCTACAGGTAATTTTCTTGAACTCTTGAAATGGGAGTGTATACGGCATCCACATATAAATATGGTGATGAACTCAAACGCTCCCGGGAATAGTCAACTTACCTCTCCTAAAATCCAAGTATTTTTCTCTATTGATTGATGAGGCTCGAGATAGTTCAACAAAAGAGCAAATGTCTGTGGTTTTAAGGTTTGTTAATAATTGTGGGGAGGTGATTGAGCGATTTCTAGGTGTGGTGCATGTTAGTAACACTTCTGCGCATACATTGAAAAATGCCATTGATGATTTTTTTGCAAAGTATAGTCTTTCATTGTCTAAGGTTCGAGGTCAAGGTTATGATGGAGCGTCAAACATGAGTGGTGGGATTAATGGCTTAAAACAAAAAAATTTAGAAGAAAATAAGCAAGCACACTATGTGCATTGTTTCGCTCATCGCCTTCAGTTAGTGATTGTTTCCTTTTTGAAGAACAATGGAATAGTTGGTAGTTTTTTTTATCATCTTATCATGATTGTGAATGTGGTTGGTGCTTCATGTAGAGTTTTTTTTTTGAATTAATGTTAATTAATTAATTAATTACGAAAATAGGGTTGGGTTAAAAGTATTTACCAAAATACTGCTGGTTTAACCAGGGTCGGGGAAAGTCACCCAACGGTTGGGCGACTTATAAGTCGCCAAACCGTTTGGCGACTTTCACTTTAAGTAAAAAACGGGGTTGGTTCAACAAGACAGAAGACTTCATCCCCAAATTCAAAGCAGCAACAGCAGCGAGCGACCAAGGACGAAGGACGAAGGACGAACGACGACCGAGGCATTTACAACCCCGGCGAACCTCCATCTCCGGCGACCCCACTCCGGCAAACCTCCATCTTCATCTTCAACACTCTACTTCTTTCTTCTAGGTAAATCAAACTCCATTTCATCTCATTTTGAACCTTAAGGTTTTGAATGTTCAAATTTACAAATTTTTGATTTATGAATTGATTGTGAATTCAGTTGTTGTGAAATGTGGATATGTATGAAATGTTGAAATTTGATTTTAAATTGATTGTAAATTTCAATGTGTATTTTGACATTTGGGCATTTGGGTAGACTTGAATGTAGCTAAATTTGGCTATTGAAAGTTAGACGTGAATGTAGATATCAAAATTTTGGTAGTTTGATATTCAAATGTGAATTGTTTTTGAATTTTGACTTTTGGATATATTACAATTTTGATAGTTTTTTCTATTGAAAATTTGATTGTGTTTAAAGTGTGTATATTGATGCGTACTCATGAATGTTGGACAATGAATTGTTATTAGAATATGGATTTCTCAAGCTTCCCAATCATATGTCATTGGGGAGGAAACTATTATGAGGATGCTGGCCAAATATGCCTTGAAGGTGGTAGAACCAGCTTTGTCATGGTTTCTCGTGGCGCTTGCATGTTGGAGATCCTTCAAAAAATACATGCAGCCACAATGATTCATCCTAGCCGTTCTTTGCGGTTGAAAATGAAATTTCCCATTATAGTATATCCACATTGGCCGTCCCATTATAGTCGGATATCATGGCATTGATGGACAGCCACTGCCTGATGATCCTCCACGTCTTCTAGGACCTCATCATGTACGGGGCGAGGACCCTCTAGGCCGTCGGTATGTTTTCAATCGTTTGTATTAATGTGAGTAAATGTTGTGTGTAAATACATTAATAATATCCATATTAATGATACTGTTACATGAATGGTTAGATGGCTATATGCTGGTCTATCTCGCATGTCATCCGCTACTGGGCTCGGTGTGTACAGGGATGCATTTGAGCGGATGTCTGAGGACCAGGTATGGTGTGCGAAGTATAACATTAACTATAATATGTAAAGAAAATCTCCTAATTTTGTATCTTTATGAAACAGATTACATGGATGCCGTTTACACCTGAGATGTTAGCAGAGTTGCCCCCAGCTGGACGAGAGCATACTCACATAAGGCGAGCACGTGTGCCGTTGATATGTTTTGACATTGTTGAGCTTCATTTGCCTGATAGAGTCTTGCGACAGTTTGGGTTTGAGCAGGTGGTTCCACGACCTATCGACACTTATGTTGAGCTACATAGGCTGGATAGGCGTGGGAAGCATACAGAGGATTGGGCACTCAGACATGTCCGATATGTGACTATGTGGGAAAGGAGAGTTGAGCTAGTTGTGGTCGGGACACCGACATATGTGCCATCTGTTTCAGGAGACTACATGGGATGGTATTACAGCATCACTCGTTTGTTTGTGTCTCCTTCGTTCAGACTCCCTACTCATCATTATCAGCCTAGTTCCTTAGCTTTGCATCTTACGGTGAGTATATTACTAATTAGTAAAGTAAGTCATTTTATTTATGTAATATTTGTATATATTTCAATGTAAATGTAATTGTGTTTCACATTTCTGACACGAGCTTTGCAGCGCATACATCAGCGGGCTACTGCCACAGTGACTGATAGTCCTGATGTGGACTTGTATGGACAGGCTCTCACAGGCATTGCGTCCTTGTGTTCAGATGTGTTGGGGCGAGTCGACTACGGCCATCTTATACACATGCCCCCATCTCAGGAGATGCCATCCACGTCTAGTGCAGTGGCGGCTTCATCATCCCAGACGCAGCATGAGAGAGTGGTTCTTCAACCACGACAACGGCGTAGGCGTAGACAGGAGCAGCAACATCTCCATGAAGAAGCTGACGATGGGAACTTGTAGTCTGTCTTTTGTATTGTAGTTTTTCTTATGCAGTAGATGTTGTAGGAACAATTTACAACATTTGATATTTTCTCTTGTAAAGTCTTGTATGTTGTCTTGATGTGTTCGAGTCTGAATATTAGATGATTACTTGTTATGAATATTGAATGATTGTACTGTGTTATACCGGTTATTTTCAAGGTGTTTTTTATGTTGATGAGAGGGGGTGTTATGTATGTGATTGAGAATACGTGTGTTGTATGTTTTATAATGTGTTTTATAATGTGTTGTATCTGGCTCGTAACACTTAAACAGGAGAAGAGAGACCTTATTTATAGCAAACAGATGAGTCCGGGTTGAATTGGGGCGAAAAATCTGCTGAAATGCTGTTTTTGGACCTAGGCACGATCGTGCGTCCCAGGGTACGCACGATCGTGTGTGGCTGGCAATAGCTGCTCGCCTTCAACCATATTTCAGGGGTAAGTCGCCCAACGGTTGGGCGACTTACCCCTGACCGTGGTTAAGGCCCAGCAGTATATTGGTAAATACTTTTTTTCCAGCATTATTTTCGTAATTAATTAATTAATTAACATTAATTAGAAAAAAAAACTCCTTCATGTAAAAGAAAAGATGATCTTTTGCAAAAGCATTATGAAAATCTTCCAGCACAAGGAAAGGGAAAAATCAAGAAAAAAGTCTTGTAAGACCAGGTGTTACTTGTTGGGGATCTCATTATAAAACAATTATTAGAGTTGTTGATATGTGGGATGCGGTGATTGAGGTACTTGAAGCAATATTTGATGATGGTGTGGATCAGAAAAGTAAATCCACTTCTTCTAGTTTGATTGAAAAAATGGCAACATTTGAGTTTGTGTTCATTGCTCATTTCATGCTGCAATTATTAGGAAAAACTAATGTGCTATCTGATAAGCACAATAATTACTTATGTTTTACATAAGTAATTACATTTATCTGTACAAATATATGAAGCAAAAACAGATAAATATTCTCGAGTTAGCGGAAACATGAAATACGACATGGAGTAATGAAAATAGGGTCAAAAGTCAAAAGGGATCGAAAACCGGCACTTCGGGATCAATTTCGAGCATCAAACGAAGAAAAGAAGCAAAGTACAAAATTGGGCGCAGGGACCGGCGCCAGATGCCCTATAACCGGCGCCGGTCGTCAGGACTTTTTGCCCAATTCGGGCCTGTTTCCAACCGGCGCAGCACAACCGGTGCATTTTTGCACCCGACCGGCGCCGGACATGCTATAACCGGCGCCGGTTGTTCCGATTTTCTGCTAAAACAGTCTGACGTGCAGAAGATTTCTGATGGGAAAACCCCATCTTCCTCCATATCTGATCAAATATTGCTTCCATGCCCGATTGTTAGGCTTGAATAGACTAAAAGATGCCATTCTTTAGCCTATATAAAGCCCTTAATTCATCAAGCAATGACATTCCATTCAATAGATTAATTCTTAGTCTTTATACTTTGTTTTTGCTATTGTTCTTCAAGTTCTTGAGGAGGAAACTTCAACCTCCGAAACCATTGGTGTTTAGGTATTATTTCCTTTGTAATTTCATGTTCCATTACATTTCAATATTGTATTGTGATTAATATGAGCATTAGAGGCTAATTTCTTAGCTAAGGCTAGGGATGAACCTCTATGCACACTAGGTGTTTGATAAAAGTTCTAAACCAATAAATTGTGATTTATCCTTTATATTTTGATTGTTTATGACTATGGTGTACAACATAGAAGTATGTTAAATTTAGTTTATGCTTGCAATTAACGTTGAAGTCTAAACTATGAACATTAAAGGATAAACATATATAGTACCGAGAATAGAAATATATCCGGTCTTATATGATACGGGTGTGATGTCTTGATATTCAACGGGGTTTTCGGTAGATGAATGTAAGCCGTAACGGGACTTACACGTAACGAAAACCACGCTCTCGCTGCCTTAACCGGAGTTGAGAATATATTAGCGACATCGTATTCATGATTATTGGGGAAGAACTATTATTAAACAAATATTAAAGCATTTAGGTGAATCCCGATTGCCTTAGTAATTCTCATTCTTGTTTAAACCAATCTCAAAAAACAAAGTTCCTGAAAAAAATATATCATTTACATTCTTTGCATTCAATACTCGACTTTATAATATCAACGATTTCCCTGTGGATCGACCCGGTATTTACCGGTATTTTATTACTACATCGGCACTTGTATACTTGCAAGTTCAGCCCGATCAAGTTTTTGGCGCCGTTGCCGGGGAAATACGGCTTGTTATTATAGAGTTAAAACAACCAAACAAAATCCTGAAATTTTTATTTCCCATTGCTTTTCACTTGTTCTTGGGTACTTTTCATTTCATGTGTGTAGACTATCCTTTGTGTTTGAATGCATTTGAGAAGTCAAGGTTCTAAACATCTTGAACCTCTTGATCTTGAAATAGAAAGAACTTTCAAACACAACCGGAAGGAAAGAAAGGCGAAGATGATGCCAACACTCAATGAAAGGAAGAGACCCGTGGTTGCCGCCACTCCCTCATGCATTGTCCTAAGCGAGGTGGCTCGGGACTATGAAATGAAAAATAGCTACTTCAATGCTATGCCTCAATTTCATGGCCTTCCGGGGGAGAATCCACTAAACTTCATCACCGAGTTCTATGGATTCATCCAAGGAATCCCTAGGCATGGTCTCACCGAGGATGATCTTAAACTCAAAAGCTTTCCCTATACCTTGAAAGGGGGAGCAAGGGGATGGTTCTTGGAGCAAACACCGGCAACTTTCACAACGTGGGAAGGTATCTATAATGCTTTCATTTCCAAGTATTATACACCCACGATGACTCAAGAGCTAAGGCAACGAATCTTCAACTTCAAACAACAAGTTGGAGAACTATTCCAAGACGCATGGAGGCGTTTCAAAGCCTTGTTGAAGGAATGCCCTCATCACCGCATCCCTCTTGATCTTCAAATTGATACATTCTACAATGGTTTGAACTCTTCATGTCAAGCCATTGTAGATAACCGTGCGGAGGGCTATATTGGCAACAAAACTGAAACGGAGGCTTTGAGAATCCTTGAATCCATTGCTTCCAATCCTCAACTACAAGGAGGAAATGTCAAATTAGCCGGTGTGAGTGAGGTGTCCATAACTCATGAATTGGACAAGCGGTTTGCTGATTTTCAACAAGCTATGCACAAAGATCTTCAAGCCTCTATTCACACGGCTCTTCAAGCCGTGATTGGAGGAGCTAGTCAAGTAGCAAGTGTGGAGAATATTGCACAGCCGGAAGGTAATTCACCTCAAACTCTTGAAGACGTGAATTATATGAACTCTTACGGGAATAGGGGGGTACCAAGGAGGCAACAACTATTCCAACAATCAACAAAGGTTTAACCAAGGTAAACCACAAGGAGGTCCTTCTTACCCCTCATCCGGGTTTACACATGGGCAAAAAGATCAAACAATGGAGGAGATGATGAAGACTCTCACTCAAAATGTTGTGGCTAGTGTAAAAGCCCAAAATGAGGAGAATCATAGTAGAGTGGAGGCATCCATTGGGAATCTCCACTCACAATTCACCAAGCTTGACCTCCGGTTTGAAGATCAAAACCGGAAACTTCACCAACGCATGGACAACATAGAACAATACACCAAGGCATCTATCCACAACTTGGAGGTCCAAATTGGGCAAATTGCCCAAGGAAAAAGCACTCGAGAACAAGGGCGATTTCCCACAACAACCGAAGTTAATCCAAGGGAAAACGTCATGGCCATAACAACGCGGAGTGGCAAACAAACGGAGGACCCTAAAACTCCGGAGGGAGCACCAACGACACAAGACGAAGAGGAGTTGGAGGAACATATATCGCCACTCCCTACTATGGCAAATTATGTTCCCCCTATCCCATATCCACAAAGGTTAAAGAAGAAGGATGATGGTAAACAATACAAGAAATTTCTTGATATTTTTACCAAGTTAAGCATTAACATACCATTCGCGGAAGCTATTGCGGAAATCCCTTCTTATGCCAAATTTCTAAAAGGGATTCTTTCAAACAAGAAGAAACTAGCGGACTTTGCAACCGTGGCACTTATGGAGGAGTGTAGTGCAATCCTTCAAAATAAACTCCCTCCAAAGTTGAAGGATCCCGGAAGCTTTACCGTTCCATGCTCTATTGGAAAAATTGGAGAGGTGAAATCTCTTTGTGATCTCGGAGCTAGTATAAATCTTATGCCACACTTTAAAAAGCTTGGTGTGGGGGAACTTCAATCTACAACGGTTGCTCTCCAATTAGCGGATAGAACAATCCGCTATCCATTGGGAGTTATGGAAGATGTTCTAGTTAAGGTGGGAAAATTCTATTTTCCGGTAGATTTCCTCATCTTGGAAATGGAAGAAATGGAAATTCCTATCATTCTTGGGAGATCATTTCTAGCCACCGCCACCGCCCTCATTGATGTGAAGAACGGAGTTGTCAAATTCCGAGTAGGAGAAGATGAACAAGAATTCCATGTGTGGGATTCATTGAAGAAACATCATGATAGCTCCACGTGTTTTAGTATTGACATCATTGATACTATAACTCGGGAGATGTTTGAAAAAGAACTTCAAAAAGACCCTCTTGAAGCATGTCTCACACTTGGGCATTCCGAAGAAGAAGAAAATTCTGAAATTTTCCAACAAATGATGTTCTTACAAGGAGAAGTCGTTCATAGACCTTACCGGCAAAGATTTGAAGACCTTGAGCAAAGGAAGTCTATTCTCAAACCATCAAGTCAAACTCCTCCAAAGCCCACTCTCAAACCTCTACCGGTACATCTCAAATATGCATTCCTTGGCAATGATTCTACATACCCCGTGGTAATTTCCTCTACTCTTTCTCCTTTACAAGAAGAGAAATTACTCCGGGTATTGAGAGCTCACACATCATCAATAGCTTGGTCCTTGGCGGATATCAAGGGTATAAGCCCAACTCTATGCATGCATCGGATCCTCATGGAGGAAAACCACAAACCAACGGTGGAACATCAAAGGAGGCTCAACCCAAATATGAAGGAGGTAGTCAAGGAGGAAGTTCTCAAACTTCTTGACTATGGTATTATCTATCCCATATCCGATAGCAACTTTGTGAGTCCCGTGCAAGTAGTCCCGAAGAAGGGAGGAATCACCGTTATAACCAATGGTAAGAATGAATTAATTCCTACTAGAATGGTTACCGGGTGGAGGATGTGCATTGACTACCGAAAGTTGAATACCGGCACAAGGAAGGACCATTTCCCCCTACCGTTCATGGATGAAATGCTAGAAAGAGTGGCGGGTCACGAATTTTATTGCTTCTTGGATGGTTTTTCCGGCTATTTTCAAATAGCCATCTCACCCGAGGATCAAGAGAAAACAACGTTTACTTGTCCTTTTGGGACATTTGCTTACCAAGGGATGCCATTTGGTCTTTGCAATGCACCGGGGACCTTTCAAAGGTGCGTCATGGCTATTTTTTCGGACATGGTTGGAGATTATATGGAGGTATTTATGGATGATTTTTCAGTCTTTGGAAATTCATTCGATGTTTGCCTAAACAACCTTGAAAAAGTGCTCATCCGATGTGAAGAAACTCATCTTGCTCTTAATTGGGAGAAATGTCACTTTATGGTGACCGAAGGCATTGTCTTGGGGCACAAAATCTCCCCTCAAGGCATCGAAGTTGATCAAGCCAAGGTGGAGGTTATTGAAAAATTACCACCTCCTCACTCGGTAAAAGCCATAAGAAGCTTTTTGGGGCATGCCGGTTTTTACCGGCGATTCATCAAAGATTTTTCAAAAATCGCAAAACCACTTTGTGATTTACTTGCCAAGGATGCTACTTTTGATTTCTCTCCATCTTGCTTATTAGCCTTCAACACTCTCAAGAAGGCTCTTACTTCGGATCCAATAATCATTTCACCGGATTGGTCTCTACCGTTCGAATTGATGTGCGACGCTAGCGACCACGCCATTGGGGTTGTGCTTGGTCAAAGAAGAGAAAAGAAACTTCATGCCATATACTATGCATCGAGGTTACTCCATGATGCGGAACTCAATTATGCAACAACGGAGAAAGAGTTCCTAGCCGTCATCTATGCTTTTGACAAATTCCGGTCTTACCTCATTGGCCAAAAGGTGATTGTCTACACCGATCACTCCGTCATCCGGTACCTCATGAATAAAAAGGATGCTAAGCCACGACTAATCCGGTGGGTGCTTTTACTCCAAGAGTTTGACCTGGAGATTCGGGACAAGAAAGGAAGCGAAAATCTTGTAGCGGATCACCTCTCTCGCCTTGAGCCAAACGCCACTACAAATGGAGAGGTAATTCATGATGATTTTCCTTATGAGCAACTCATGGAGGTGAAGGGAGTTCCCTTACCTTGGTTCACAGATTTTGTGAATTATCTTGCCAAAGAAATTCTTCCCCAAGAGCTCACTTTCCATCAAAGGAAGAAATTTTTACATGATGTCAAACATTACTATTGGGATGAGCCATATCTTTTCAAGCATTGTGC